GAACCAAGGAGCGAGCAATCGGGTCAGCAACAGTAACAGGCATGTGCGAGGTGAAACCGAACATCATGAAGACGATGTTTAGTTTGGGAGTGTGCTACCTTCCTTGGTCACACATTATCACATTGCTGTAGAACGCGACAAGTTGATATGCACGAAGCCGCCATACCCATGGTGTCTCGCTTTTATCTCAAATGAAGATGGCACTCGGATCGTAAGTTGTACGTTGAACAAATAGTTACCGATAATTTTGTGGTACCCTTTTAAAGTGGCGAAGCGGAAGTGTTTACGTAGAGCAGTGCATTAGTGGCGAAAAAAAAAACGGGAGAATACACCTACTTGGGGAAAAAGAAGGCTCAGGGAAGTAGTGGAAATAGAGGTCGTGCGAGAACGCCTGACGTGCGCCTGAGAACGTGAATAGCACAGAAGTGGTTTTTGGACGAGATTCCGGCCGGTGCAACTGCGCAAAGGGCTGATTACTCCAAGCGAACTGTCCAAAATTGCTTTTGACTGTCGCAATTGGTCATGGCAAGTTGTTTGAGCGTCATACATGGGTTCTTTTGTAAATGGCACATTTGAAGGTCGTCCGCTACGGGCAATCACTGAGCCCGTATAGTTCCTATAGATCTACTTAGGCCGTTTACCGATTTGACAGCGCCACCTATGTTTACTGAAACGCTATAGATTCATCAAAGGAGTGTTGCTCAGAAACTATTTTTCTCGTGCACTGTACCTTTAGGTGTCGATCTGCAGTATTAATAAACACTCCTCACACAACATCAAGCCGTAATTGGTTTAAAGCTGCTCTACGATAATCATTGTTTAAAAACTATTTACAGCATATGTTCTCATAAAGAAATGAGTGGCTGCGCACTCATACCGTGGCACGGCGTGCGTTCAACAATTTAAAGGCATAGTTCACGATAATTCGACAGGCGGGAAAGCCCCGCTCTTCCGCCCCTCAATCGACGTCACGTCAGTGTCGAGACAATACAGATTGCAGTTATTCGTTCTAGGACCACACACAATCAGCTGATCGCCAAGTGATGAGGCGACGTTTTTCTCCCATTCTTCTTTCCACTGTTATTCTTTTCGCTGCCACGATCCCTTATTCAATTTCCTACTCGTAGAGGCTGAAAAAGGTGAGCTACTCTTGCTGTTACTAGGGTTTTTTGTTTACTTATGCTTATAAGTAAATGAATTTTTGGTTACCGTAGTCTGTTATTTGCACCAGGGCCCACATGAACGCAGTGAGACACATTGTATAGCTCGTCCAAACGCCCCACTCTTCACTTTCTAGCCTCATTCTCGTTCAGCCCCCTTTTTAACCATGTCGAGGCCTTTTTTCACTTNGAAAACACCGATTCACGCAGTTACTTCACCTTCATCGCACTATTTTCGATCTTGTCTTCTATTTTTCATCATAATCTGGAAATAATCTTACCCAAAATTATCGTGAACTGTGCCTTAAAGCATACAAATCATAGAACAAAGAGCGCGCTATAAAATCAGAAGACGGAAACGTCAGCGAAAAAGACACCAGTGACATTATAAATTTTCCCAAAAAAGTCCCGAAATGAACATCAGAGATGAAGTCCCTCTCATAAGTCACGATCTTCCGTTATACATTCATACCGCAATGCAATCTGTGATACAGTAGCACCATGCCGCGACATCCTTTACTATCATAGTATGTATAAAGGACGCGGCAGAAGATCCACTTGGTACTTATCATCACCTGTAGCTAGAATGGATTTTGCCCGCTTCAACAAATGGGTACGATCTTTTTCAAGTTGTGGTTGGAGAATGAGTTCCGAACAGAACGCTGCATTTTTCAATATATGACAGAGGGACTAAAGGCTTAAGGGATGGTATGGGAAATGCCTCGTGATGTATTGAGCCTCTGATTATGACAATCACATCAAAATGTTAGACTGCGGGAATAACCAAGCAGTTTCACCTTGAAGCCTTCTACGGCATAATAATGTTATCGTTGTAATCTACTTCGCTGTTTTTCCCCTGACCCACAGCAATCTTGTATTACATAGAAAACTGATGGAGGAGTATTGGCTTTTTTCCTCGAGGCTGCGTAGAAAAGTCCACGTTAGAATAAATTGTGGACGACTACCACTTTGCAGAAAGACGAGTTTCATTTTGATTTTCCATGAGGATCCTATCAAAGTGGTCAGATTGATTTTCGCCCACCTTCAATTCTTGGTAAATCCGTTGCAGTATAAGCAGTGTTGCTTGTTGTCCAAGATCTAGAGGAGCAGAAATCTGGAATATAATCATCAGACATGGTGACAAACATTTTGCAATCGCCTTTGGGAAAAATCAAATATTTTACTCATGAATTTTATTTTTTATCTTGTTTTTTTTTCAGTGGAAAGAAACGGAAAGAACGCTTGTTCGACTAATTGTCACTCAAGTTAACGACTTAGGTAAAATTATTCGGAACTATTGGGCCGTCAAGTAAGTCTTGAACCGTTCCACGCTTCTTGTTGTTTTACTTTTTTTTATTCAACATACAATGAATTTCATTCGACAGTCTAATCACCATTGTCAGCCACAACTGTGTTCCACCTGTCCTGTGCAAGCTAGTATCCCCTTTCCCCCAATAGTGCAGGTGTCAAAAATATTACTAACCAATATCCAATATGTCCAAGTTCGGCGAAGTTTTTCTAGCTAGGAGTACCATAAGGGAACGAAGTAAAAATAGTCACAAGGTGCTATTTCAAGAATGGCGGTAGGCAGCCCAACCCCTTCTATTTTTCACAGGTCTCTTTTACTNTGGTGCTTAGCATTATCATGCAGTAGGGAAACGGATGCTCGTTCTGACTGTTTTTCCCGCATGGAGTCTGCAAGTTTCTGAAGAATCCAGGATCTCAGAAGCAGCAAAGGGGGCCACTTCTCGGAGTTGAGGCCCAATCTGGCTTATGTTGGTGAGCCTCCTCCTCGGAGAGTCACACGGCACGACGCGGTTTCTAAGGTGGCTCATCTCATACGCAAGAACAAAATTCCTCCAATGAATACGATGGCACCACCTTTAGGTAGAACATTTCGCTGATGACATGCTGCAGAGCATTTCAACTCAATGAAGAGCGTTTCAACTTAATGAGTCATTTAGCTTCTTTCTCCTTGAGGCCTCTGAACTCCATTGTCACCGAATATTTAGAAATCCTCTCTAGCCCTAGTGAAGCTATACTCTTATTCGGCCGGTGACGGGCTAGAAAACACTTCTTATAATACGTTTTCAGTGGTTTGAATTGTGTGTGTGCTCGTACATAGCCAATATCGAGCTCAAGAACGTCTTGCAAACGTAAAGGACGCAATTATTAAAGACCAGAACGAGTGATACGTCGAGGTTCAAACTCTCACAGCGTGTCCACCGGCCCACAATCCTACCAGCTGCGCCACCATTAGACATCCACTACTTTGCTCTATTCGATTATCTGTTTGGTTCAGTGGTATGACATAGGGAGGAATTCGTCCCGTGACTTTTTCTTGTATCGTTTAAAAGATTTGAAACACAGATTTGAGAAAGCACTCACAACCGCCCTTAACATCTCATCTTGAAAGGCAACAGCGATCAAATACCATTCTGTTGTAGTTTCGGTATGCTCTTTGTATTGACAAAGTGAGTTGGACCTTGACCCTTTGGTAGTTTATATTAGTGTGGAAGGATGGTGGAGGATGATAAAAATTATATAAACTGATAAAGGCTGATAGCGAGCGCTGACATTTAAAAGCCGTTAGATCATTTCTTATTTTCATAGATCTTTGACAGGAAATTCATAACTCCTGTTCCAGTGGACCTAGAGGGTTGAATACGGCAGGAGTACAGGCGGCAGGATAGAAGCACTCACGGTAGGACTAGACTCCGCCACAAGGGCGGAGCGTAAGAGGAAGTTATTAATTGGAATGTAGAGCGTTCAAGTTTGGTAGGACTACAGGCGATAGGATGGGAACCCATGGTGGATGGTATCAATAGACTCCGCCAACTCCGTGAGCGAAACTGTTGATATGGACCAAGGGCCTACAAATCAGTAGTATTACAGGTGACAGTATGGAGAAACTAATGATATGTGGGAGTAAGTGATCGCGATGAAACCGAGGGGAGAGAGTGACGGACGGAGGTGGAGAGCCGGGTGCGAACTGAGCACAGGTCAATTAAAATTACGAAGCCAAGTTGGAATGAGCGTGGACGAACCGAGTCATTTATACACACAGAATTTGAGCGGGACTACGCTCATGGATGGGACGGGCATGGACTGTTCCAGAGTGTGTGTGTAAGCGCGCCTGTTTGGCCGGAAATCAATAATCGCTGTTCTTCTGGACCAGAGTGTCCAAATAAGAACGGGGTGCAGGTGGTGAGATAATTCTAACACGAAAAGGAGGAGAGTCTGGCATCGGCCGGGCGATCCGACTGGTCATACAGTACTGCGCTTCGTCATGCCTCAGAAAGGCGTTAACTTAAATGCATTGAAATAGGAAACCGTCAGCATATCTCTTTATAGATAGAGCGCTAACTTTGTGTGCCTGTTTGCTTGTCGGATTGTGCGTCTGTCCGCAAAAAGTCACGTAGGCGCGGTGACAATTGTGAAATTTCAGGTGGACGCGGTGGGGCAGCATGACATTGCAATCCCACAGATACTGTTTATATTGATCCCATAACAAATCTTAAATAAATGGTTGTGGATATGTGACGCTCGCGTTACGAGCGTAGCCCAAGTGGTGTTGAAACAAAAAGCACCTGTGTCTGTGGTAAGGCAGTTGAAGGTGAAATGCCATTCATAAGCCCTGATGTGGACATGTAGTAATGAAGACGTCGCTCTATGTCTAATGAATTCGACCTGAAAACGCTAAAATGAATTCAGCAAAACTCTGAGAAGAACTTTAACGCAGATGACGAAGTAAGTGGCACTGGTGGCATAAATATGGCACTGGGTAACTAACTGGTATGTACTACCCAACTTCTCACAAAGCTACGCTTGCCGAATGCATTACCTAGAGGTGCTGGACTCATTCTCCTTGATGTTTCTGATCAGAGACTCCGAATGACTCTTGAGTTTCAAGTTGAACAGAGACGGAAGTGTTGCGTAAGTGAGCTTGACACCTGGTCGTTTCATGCGCAGCATCCATGGCAACCAATACAGGAGTACCGAACGCATCTGTAACCCAATGTAACATCTGTACTCGGTACACTATATTGGGTTGTAACATAGTTCGTAGAGTTTTGCGTTGGAGTTATTTTACAACGACTTACTTTGTACTTTACTTTACTTTAGCAAACTTTACTTTTTTTTTACTTTAGTAAAGTGTATACATTCATTCGAAAGAGCTCTTTCTCCTCCACAAAATTGTTTTATTTGTTTTAAGGATAATTTGATTGTTCGTCTTTTTTCGGGCTCAGAAATGGAATATCCAGGAAGAAAAAGTCAGCATTTTCGACATCTGCTTTTCTTTGCTTTTCGTCGAGGTCAAAAAGCAGCCGAAACCACTCAGGACATATGCAGTGTGTACGGGGAAGGTGTCTTATGGTTAGGTGTGTCTACTGAAAGGTGTGGGTGGCCCCAAGAAAGGGGCCGAAGCCGAGAGTCAAGCAAGATTTTCACCCAAAAAAGGTCATGATATGCATTTGGTGGGAATGGGTAGGCATGGTGTACTGAGAAACTGCTCGAACGAAACGCCACTGTCAACAAGGAGGTCAACATTGCTCAGCTGAACAGTGTAAATGAGGCTATTCGGCTGAAAAGACCTTATAGATGAGCGCAAGTCATCTTGCTCCACGACAACACCAAGCCCCATATTGCTCAAGTCGTCAAAACAGCACTCCAAGAGCTTGAATGGGAGGTTCTTCAGCATCCACCGCACTCTCCAGATCTTGCACCTGCCAACTATCACCTTTTCCGCTCTGTGTCAAACCAAATGAGGGATGTTACCTTCGATGGCGAAGGGGCTTTTCAAAACTGGCTCAACAAATTCTTCGACATCACAACGGCCGATTTTTGGCGAGTTGTCATCAACAAATTGGTCGAGAGATGGGAGAAGGTCGTGAACAGTAACGGAGACTACATCATCAGTTAATTTATCATTGTAGTTATGGTTTTTTGATTCAAATAAACCTTTGTGAAAAAACTCCACCAACTTATGTTACAACCCAATAGCTACGTTGTTCATGAAGAAAACCTTTCAAATCACAGAGTTAACCATCCAAAACTTGATAGATAATCTAATAACATTCAAAGATAATCTGAACAAAAAAAAAAGAAGTCAATTCGTCGTACCACTGGAGTCATTTCGTGAGTTTCCGGCGTTCTATAGTGAAGATTGAGTACGTAGACCGTGAATACTGTAGATGCAGTCACAACAATCATGCAGCATGTGAAGAATATTCCTGGAAAAAGCGTTGTTTAGGAGAAGCAGGTTCCATTGAAACTCTGGCACTTTTACAGACACTAGTAGGGCGAATGTTCATCTTTTACGCCACGCTTTTTTCTTTTTCTTGGTTGTTTATTGCCATATCTCGCTCATATATACATCAAGGGACACGAAAAGGAGATATAAGAACAACTAAAAGATGTGGAGAAAGTTCAGAGAGACAGATGGATTCAGCTCGAGAAAATGCCGTCCACTGCCACTCAATTTGCTTCAATTTCTCGAAGTCAAACCTTAGAAGACGCCGCTTTAAAACCGTTCCATATTGCAACACGGAAGTCTCATGGTTGCGCCTTTAACAGACCCATGGTTGAGGATAGATAATTCTCAAACTGAATACACATAGCCTTTTTGCAATATTTTCGTGGTCACGTATATATCAGCCGTTGGAAAGTTTGTTTGTTTTAATCCCGTCCTCATTTCCATTCATTTTACGGGTCCTGGTACCCTGCAATGCAAGACGTCGAGCAATAATGTAACTGAGGCTTATGAGCAGGCAACTTACGAAGTTCTAATCTTGGACCGCCTTCTGATCACCCTGGCCAATTTAAATGCGCGCCTTTTTCTGAGGAAATCCTAGCGTTCATGTGACACGGACCTTTAGTGGGAGTGAGCTTTACTCACAGGATGAGAGCTTTTCATGTACATGAGAGTGTGGGACCTGCTGGATCGCAGATTCTCATAGATCACGCTCGGTAATAAAAGTGCTGTGATGTAGAGAAGTTTCTAATCCTTCGTGTAATCATTGATTGTAGAGGATTACATAAGACCAGTAAGGTCGCCCGGCTAACACTGGACTTCCCTCCATCTTATGATAGAGTTGTGATGATCGGCAGACGGCACGCCCCTTTTTCGGAACAAATGATACTGATACAGGAGCATTAGGGCATTATTTGTTCCCATCCTGCCGCCTCAAATTTGGACGTTCCAGGCTCAAGGGGACAGAAGTTATGAATTTCCGTGCAAACAGACAGACAGACAGACAGACAGACAGACAGACGGACGGACAGACAGACAGACGAGCGCTTATATGTATATAGTAAGGATTGGTGCAAAAGGTTGAGCAGAATAAGTCGCCGGGACCTGTCGTCTGAGATCAGATGCAGTTCGTTTCCAAATGACGTACCAACGTGAAATGCTGTCAAATCAAACCAATTGAGAGTTTGCGCTCCTCAGGCGAGACCTTAGTTGCGCTGTCTATAATACCACTTCACCAAATATTCGTCCGAATCCGAATAGTTTGAAATTTTCGGAACGTTCTTTGCAGAATAGATAAGACCGCTTTTCAAAAGGTTTTACTGCAGTAGTTCAAGCTTGGTTGAGGTCGAACTGCAAAGTAGACGGTCACAAACATCAACATTACATGGGAAGAAGCATTGGAGCCAACGGTTCGTCTCTGGTTTCAGGATTTTAAAAATAGATGTGAGTCACTGGAAGGCAAAGAGTGAGCTGGCGGACTTTCGTGTTAATTGATCACAAGGCTTTCCTTAGGACACTTGAAGAAGATTGACGTCAAGCTTTGAAAGAGATTGCCAGGCATATGGGCGTCTCCCAAACAGTCGCCGCTGACCACCTCAAACAGCTTGAAATGGTGAAGAGATTTGAGAAATTGGTGCCACACCAACTTACGGAGCAGCAGCGCGGCGCGTGGGAATTTTCAGTTCTTCGCTGGGAATGGATGGGGATGAGTCTTTCGTTGTTCGTTTTTAACGTGAGATTGAAAATGGATCTCATATCGGAAAACATTTTGCTCAGTAAGTAGGTGTAAATGAGGCTCCAAAAACTTTTCCCAAAGCTAAGTTTATAGGCCAACAGGACGATGATCACAGTTTAGTGGTCTAACCATGGTTCAATCCACTACTTTCTTTTCCGGGTCAGACCGTTACCACAGCCCTACTGTGATCGAATTCACGAGATGTACCCGAAACTGGAGCAAAGCAATCAGCGCTAGTTAATCGTCATGGTCCACTGGTTTTGCATGACAATGGACGACAGCATGTGCCAGAAATCGTCTTACAAAAGGTGAAAGAGCTGCAGGTTGAAGGTAGGAGCGAGTATTCAAGAAGTGGAAGCTGACTTTCTCGAATTCTTGGAATCCAAATCACCGGAGTTCATGAGAGTAAAATGAGCAATTCTTATATAAGATTTGCACAAATGTGACTGACTCGAATGGGATTTATTTTAAGAAGAAACGTTCACTGTGAGATGAGTTATGATTATTTGAAGATTAGCTGTCAAACGGCAAGAACTTCCCTTACAACCTAATAATATCAGGTGAATTTGGTAGTCTCTTGCTAGTTCGCTTTTGCATTTATAGAAACATGGAACGCCTTTTTTACATCTTTACGTCATCTTTTTACGTCTTTATACACTAACAACTGAAAACCACCTAAGTATATCATTCCTATATCATTTCTTCATATTGCTTTGTACTGCGTATTAGTTGGTATTACCCCACTTACCTAGAAGTGGAACAGCTTCCGACGTTGGAGGTGACATCTCGGAAACGATACTCAAGAAGAAACAAATGGAAAGCAATACAGTGATCTCTGAAAAAAAAGCATACTTTATCTTTCTAAAGTTTTTAAAAGCCCCAAATCAGGAAAAATTCAATGAAACCTCCCAACGAAAAATCTCACGCAAAGTGATTTTCTCTCCAGCATCAGGTGGTAAAGTGAAACCAAGCAAGGTCATGAGTGTTGTAAGAATACATGGCATGATGAGGTTGAATCCTGAAATCTGGAAAATGTAACCACTAGTACGCCCACAATCCTCAGCAATATGCTACCGTAGTAGAGAGTGCGCCTCCGCATATGCAAGTAGAATGTCAGATCCGGATATGGTTCGGGACAGCAATCGTAAAACTTCACGTTCCGTGAGACAGTAGTCACTTAAAAAGATTATTTGATATGAGACCCTTGGTAAATTCTTAAAGGTTAAGCTCATTCGCGTACAAGGTAATGTCCACTCCCCGTTCGGCAAGTACTCAGAGATGTCGAATCCTTTCTTGGCAGGCTGTAGATCAAGTTTGAATCCGTCGTAAGTCCAAGAACCAAACTGAAAGCAACTTTTCATAGAGAAGTAGACGGATCACTTACAGCATTGACTTCTAACGTAACAGTCATGCTAAATAAGGTCCTAAGGCCGACAACTCAATAGGAAAGGAAGCCAAATTGCATGTGGCAAGATGATCAATACAAATTTCAAACCTTGAATTTGCAGCGTTGCTCATCAAAAGGAAACCACTCGATGTCAATTTTACAGGAAATCTTGAAGATACCCGGTGGTACCCAATGTACATCACCAGTACTGTACACGACCATGTTTGTAGGATAGGTTGAATCAAAGTTCGTGTCGACGCTGAAATGATAGGCGAATCTGATGATGAGATGTATCCAAAGATTATTATGTTTCAAATACAGTCTGATTCTATCAGATCTGCAAGGCCTCGAGGTTATCAGCCTGTTCAGTGGTATCGCCACACTACAGAACGCAACTCCTAACGGACCAACATTATACGACCACCACATCGATTTATCCTCAGTGAATGACTCCCAGCTTCTAGGGAGTCTGAACGGGTTGAGTTGAAGCGTTTTCTTGAGGCGTGCCGTGGCTGAGGAATTCTTCATTTTACTGGGGAAACATGCAAAATGCTGTGTAACCAAGAAAAGCGGGCGCTTTCTCCAAAAAAAGCCTGTGTCTCATTGTCAGATAGTAGGCGTGGGGTAATTTCAGGTGTAAGTGAGTACCTGTTGTAGAGCAGCACGTCCGGCTTCCAAATCCTACCAGCAGGAAATCGTACGTCCGTTATGTTCCCATATTCGCTGACATCCCATACAAGTTTGTAATCCTTCCATGTCTGAAAATGCACTCTACTTCTTGGAAAAGGTTTTTATGTTCAGAGATATTTACAAAAGAAAGCTCATGAAGAAAAAGAGCACTGAGCCAGGACGAAGCTGAGGGAGTGCAGAAGGTCAACTATCATGGGGACTAGAGGGAATGCTTACATCACAGTCCAGGACACACTATCATTGGGATACTGTGATAGGCAAAGGGCACCATGGCGCTTTTTTTCCTCAAATAGGAGCTGGAAGGATGGAGTCTTCGGACTTTAGTCTATCCCGTCTGAAGAATGCGCTCCCTCATCCGACTCCAATTTAGAATCGTATTTGCCTATTGAATACGTAGTACATATGTGACCCATACAATGACTTGAGGTGGCCAGCCGATGTATGGGTCACATAACATATGTAGCTGCTATTTGCACGAAAGTAGCATCATAAAGGTTCGAAAGAAAGTCACTTACGTAGTCAAGCCAAGCGTTCACGTAAACTATTTGATTTTTCTCGTCGACATCGATGATTTGTTGAAGAGAAACCTGAATAGGAAGAGGGAAGCATAGTGCTCTCAAGAATCCTTAAAAAGCTGAAATGGGTGTGCTGGTATTTCGACATTCCCGTCGCTCTTGGTGGTACCCGTAAACTGTACTGTGTTTTGCTGTACTATTAGGGTGTCCCAAAAGTTTTGAGAAAATTTTGGTCATGTATTTCGCAACCATGCTGCGCAAGAAAGCGCCGAGGCAGAGCCACGGAGAAAAGGTCAGTAAGAGGTCACGCTTAGCAGATCATCATAACAAGAGAACAGTATTGCACTTTATCTTTGGAAGTGAGTTATCAACATTTGAATTATTTTCGACTGACACGACTACAGGCGCCTTCTGCTTCATTACTACCGATCTGGTCACTCCGCTACTAAAGAGCGGAATGAATTGCAGTCATCGATGGGCAGTACTGCACCATCCCTCGCCACCTGCTATAGGTGGTACGGCCGCTTCTCTAGAGAGAGTTTCACTTCGACGAAGTGCCACGTAGCGGACGTCCACGTTCCACCAAGACCGAAATTGTCTTAAAATACGTCCAAAGCAATCCTTCTCAAAGCTTGAGAGGAATGGAGAGGACGACTTCTGCTCTCCGTTCCACCACCCACGACATCCTACGCAGACGTCGCTTTCGCGCAGCAATTCTTGCAATCATCCCCACACCTTGACTGAGAGCGAGCGTCAGGTGCGGGTCGATGTGTGTCGGAAGCTACTCGACCGCAAGCGAACGGTGGATTGGACGAGCTTCATCATCGCTCAGGATGAGAAGTGGGTTCCTTGATAATCCATACAGGAAGTTACAGTGGCTACCAATCGTCATAAGGCCAGAAGCCGTTGCCAAGCGTGGGGAACACGTCGAAAAGAATACGATCTCGTTCTTCTTATGCTCCACCGGCTTTTTCTACTATGAGATCCTACCTGAGGGTACTGCTGTGACTGTAAGGGTATTCTGCGAGCAGCTGCGGGAGATGGTGTCTGGAGCCCCGGTTTCACACCGAATGCAGGGAAAGTTTCTGATTTTGATGAGTCACGCTCGACCACATCATGCTAGGGCGACGGCTGAGGAGCTGGAAAGGCTTGGGATCACCTGGCTGCCCCATCCTTTGTATTCACCTGACCTTAGCCCTTGCGACTACCACACCTCCAGGACTCTGCAAGCTTACCTCAAAGGGAAAAAATTTCATAACTGTTAGGAGGTCAAAAGTGCAGTAGATGAATGGATCGCGTCGCGCTCCTCTTCTTTCTGGATGAATGGCATCAGTGCTCTGTCCAGTCGATGGAGGGACGTCGTGGCTAAAGAGGGCCACTATCTCGATTACTGATCTCACCTTTTTGTTGTGGTATTTTTGTGTTGAACAAACCAAGTAAATTTTCTCAAAACTTTTGGGACACCCTAATATTTGATGGAAATTTAATAGCGAATATCAGCGATGCTGTGAGTGGGCTCCAGTTTCGGTATATCGTCCCATGAATAAGTCACATGCATTTTCATTATACTACTTTTCCCTGTGTCTCGGAACCCTTATATCTCATCATGAAAAAAACTTAATATTATATTGATTGACCACTTGAAATAACAAATTGATAATTTGATGACTTTGTGCGACATCCTAGAGAACCCGGAACTTCTAGGAGAAATGCATTTTCATTATACTACTATAACTGCAACTCAGATCCAACTACGAGCTTTTTAACCGCAGCAATNTCGGCATTTCTGCTGTTCTTGAAGTTGTTAATTTTGCTTCTGCCTCGAGGTTGCTAGGTGGAAACTTTTATTCTGGCCAACGATTCGACGGACTCGTCGTTTTCAAAGGCCTGAAAGTGGTTCAAAGCTTTTTTTTGATTTCACACTACCCCACCAAGCGCCTTCTCCGCTCTAGCGTTTCTGACATTATATCAGGAATGCAAAAGAAAAACCAAAGAAAAAAGCTTTGAACCATCCTCAGGCCTTTGAAAACGACGAGTCTGTCGAAACGCTGACTAGAATAAAAGTTTCCACTTAACAACCTCGAGGCAGAGGCAAAATTGACAACTTCTAAGAAACTCATTCGTGTTCACCTAGAGAAATTTTAGATTTTTAAATAAATTTCCCAAAACTTGGATGCAGTACTCGTAATTGCCTGAAACTGCGTAGGCTGCGAAAAGGGAAGAAAAGAGGATCCGTAAAGTTTTCAAAGGAAAAGGTTCATAGTCGCGCGTCTTCCTTGAGTTTTTGTATTTTGAAACGAAGTCTTATTCATATGAGCGGTAACTTTACAGTTTTCGATGAAAAAGTGTGTGGTGATTTCTTCGATATATATATCGATATATTTCGGTATCTTAAAGGCACCGTTCACGACAAAAAAGTTATTGAGTTCTTACCTTATTAATACTCAGCGGCCCCCATGGGTTGTAGAAGGGTCCTCCTCACTCCCGCAATTTCGACGTCCAGGGCATAATGGCGGGCCCGTTGTTGTCGTAATGCGCATCTCCGCCCCTCGACCGATGTCACGTTAGACGAGTGTCGAGACGACACAGTGTCATGTAATCGCGTCAGGACCCATCCTGAACTGCAAATTGGCAAATTGCCAGAGACGCAATGTGTTGTCTGCTATTGCAGACAACACATTGCGTCTCTGGCAACTTGCCTATTTGCCCGAACACTCTCTAACCGGCGTTCTTTCAATGTGAAACTCGTCCAACCCCCTTTCCAGCTCTTTTTTTGGCCCTTTGTAATTCTTTTTGTTCATCGTGTTTTGCGCTTTTTTCGTTGTTATCGCTTTATTCTAGAGTAGTTCTATCGATTTCCCGTCAAAAAAGGGTACCCTAACTTTTTGTGAATGGTGCCTTTAAGCTGGTAATTCTCGCTGGACATGGAATGAAATCTCTACAACGCTTCAAGACAATCGTGAGAGTGGGTGGTCTCTTTACTATTATTTCGTATGGCCTAGCTCAAGATACCAAAAATTGACAGTCGCCCTGTGATTTTGTGATTCATTGGAACCTTCTAACAAGGTGACGGAGGCGACGACAGGGCAAGTTCGCTCAGTACTAGTTAACTCTGAACTGAATTGCTGAGATTCTGCGCCATTGGAAAAGATCAGTACAAAATTCCTACTACCTTCAAATATACGGTAACTGGCTTTGAATGGTTGGCCACTGGCCGTTCGAGACTGTTGTAGTCCCTCATGAGATCCTCATACAGACGCCGCTCGTCATACGAGGCAATAACAACGGCAACAGCAACGAATGAGCAGGCGATCAGCAAGCTCCACATTTCCCATGCTCTTCAGTGCATCCCTCGGTCAAGATTGCTCATACCTGTAACGCTAACTTCAATCCCATGATCACATTAATTCAACAAACTGCAGTGCAATAAAATTAATTCATGGATCCAAACAAAAGGTAAGAAGATCTCCAGTCAGGAGTGTAGAAAGAAAAAAATGAATCGGAGTGGAAGTGCACTATTGGAAGATCAGATGGGTACTAATGAGAGCCGAATGGGTTGAAAAACAACCACATTTGATTTCAAAAGGCGAATGACGCTAGAAATAACGTCACTCCCACACGAACATTAGCACATGGGAGTCTTTCCACGTGCTTCAGAAGAGTGTTCAAAAATTTTGTATTCCGAGACGTGATAGCGAGTCGATTCTCTTCATCCTATTTTTGAAAACCTTGCTATTCTGCTCACCGAAAATTTCAGCTGATAAAATCTGAAGCTATTTTGTCCCGCGGAAATGTAGGGAGCAAGGAGCTTCATAATACTATTTTCCCTAGGTTTAGGACAATGTAGATACAGCTTGTAAGCACGCTCTCGACAAGGCCTCAAAATCCAGTCCGTACTTGGCTTCAGCTTCAGTTTACCTTTCAGAGGCTCGAAACAGAAAATCACATAGTTGGAAATGCGTCAATAGAGAAGTGTTTTGAGTTTGAATCGATGCAGACGTTCCCTATAATCGGAAGTACCATTAGGGTAATCTGGATTTGGATAGCATTTATACATCAAAATCCTTGTGAATGTTTACTGGACCTTCTAGTATTTGTGTAGGGACTCCAGATCTATGACCGATACTGTAAAACTGTGGCTACATAAGCCTTTCAACGTATCATCGAAGTTGCTGCGTTGTTGTATTGGTGTTCCGGAAAATTGCAAAAAGAGAACCAATTGCCTTTTGTACAAATGAATAAATGTGATGATCCAAATTCAGCCCCGAGCTCATGTATGCAAGCCGAGGTCACGGATTTGTTCGGGGGTTCTTGCAATTACATCATTATACTGGGCCTTGATGGCTTTCTCAATATGAAGAACAGATATTTTTGACAATTTCACAGGTATTTCCCAAGCGTTAGCCCACTCCATCATGTTATTCATGGACCATCATGGACCGGGCTAAGGCTTGATGAATACAGTCATGTACGTTTTCAGTATGGAAGGCTTGTTCCTTATATCGTCAGCCTACATGCGAACCTTCATAACTGGGTGTATAGTCAAAAGATCAGGTAAATCACAAGTGTATATCAAGAACAAAAGGAGTGACAAATCACCATCTTGCGGCACGCCGCTGATGCATGACGCCTCGGGAAGGAACTTCCGACTCTCGCGACATGTATCTAAAGCTCAGATAATACCGTTTCGACTCAAAAAGTGTCTAGTGACACCTAGCTCTCGGAGCTTAAAAAGAAGTTTATCATGTAACTTTGTCAAATGCTTCTTACAAGTCAAAATAGATCACGCCTACACCTTGGTCTTTGTTAGTAGCTAAATCCCACTCACATGTATAGTTACCATCAGCTTGCACGTGGGAGCACTCAAGAGGAACCCATCTTGTTCGACGGATATAAGGTTGTTCCTAGTCAAATGAGGTTCGTGTTTGTCACGTACAGCTTTTTCTAATATCTCAATCGTATAGGTAGCGCTACTAATTGGGCGGAATGATAACACCACTTTCGCTGTCGGAACTTTTAGAATCGCTGCTATGATGGATTCTTTTCAGCTAGGATGACTTCCACTGAAAACTAGGAAGGCGTTCAGAATCATACATGCGCTTATAACGAGAGTTAGCACACTCATTATGTACAATTTGAGGAGCGATAAGACTTTAGAGCTTTTAAGTGACTCCAGAATTCGATGTACCTCTTAGGGAGATTATATGACACGAAGAATCTGGCTGGAAACTGCACTTCGAAGCCGTATCCAAGTTGGCTACCGATGCTGTATACAGAAAAGAAAAGAAATGTAGGAGGCTTCCGCCTACGCATAATTACTCAAAACTATTTTGCCAGAAGTCTTGAAGTATCGGCGCAAAGAGCGGCGACTTTATCTCGTTTCTGAAATAACAAATACGTAGGTTGCCTTTTATATTTTGAGATTTGAGAACAGAAACAAATACCATTTTTTGAAAATCGCTTTACAGCCTTTCCAAATTCTCCACATTAAGATCTATACACTTTTGAATAGGCTCGAACCAATTTTCGAAGCAGTTTTGCCACTCTGATGTAGGTAACTCCAAAACATGTGTTCATGCCTCTAAACCGGCTTCTTCAAGTGTCGAAAAACGTTGACCTCTCATTTTATTTTTTACGTACGGAATGAAAAGAAGCCACTCGGGGACTACATGGCTGATGACCTGTCAAATCGTTGTTTTGAGTGCTCGAAAATGCAGTTGTTTGAGCCGATGTGTGGGAGCTCGCATTGTCGTGGTGAAGAGTGATCCGTCTTCAGCAGTTGGTTTTCCTAATTTTTGGGAAGTCGACTGGCAAACAAATGGTGGTATTCCACTCAGAATTGACTGTTCTGCTTGTCCTAGTGGTACCGTTGCGACATGTCCAGTTTTTCCAAAGAAACAGGAGATCAATTGCTCGGAAGTGTCTGGTGCACGGACAGCTTTTGTTGGATTGGCTCATCTTGAAATACCCATACGGTCGACTGCTGTTTCCTTTCGGGCTCATACGCATAAATCCATGATCCACCATCTGTCTCGATGCCATAGACGTGTTTCGAAGCACCGCGATCGTATTTTTTGAGCATTTCTTCCGACCAACCGACACGAGTCCCTTTTTTGGGGGATTGACAAATTTTTCAAAAACAATTTTTTTGCAGTCAAATGTTCATGCAATATTGAATCTATGCTGGTCCCACTAATGCNTAAGGTTGTCCCAATCTCACGATAGGTCACATGACGGTCTTGCAATATTAGTTTGTGCACAGTATCAACGGTTTCCGGAACAGCACCTGATTTTGGACGACCTCCACGAAATTCTTCTTCGAGTGAACTACGACCTCGGGTGAACTCACTGTACCATTGATAAACACTGGCACTGGATGGAGCTTCACCACCAAAAATTGAACTAAGTTCATCCATGCATTGCTGTTGAGTTAGGCCACGTCGAAAGTTGTAGAAAATAATCGCGCAAAAATGCTCACGATCCAACCCCATGACTTGGCCTATACAAAATCTTATAACTTAGTGTAAACAACACAAATCGAGCTCAAATTTTGCAACATAACCTCAAAATAGTCAAACTTTACGATAAAGGTGTCAGTTGTTAGATTGCTACACTAGTGTTTCCAAATCTCAAAATATAAAAGGCAACCCTCGTAACATCCTCTCTTCTGAAATGAAAGCGGCTCACCCTCTCTAACACAGAAATTTTTTCAAACCATAATCGGGTTCCCTGCACGTTTGCTTATAATGACAGAGAGCTGAAGGGGAGTTCTGTACTTCAGAAACGAATCCCAGCTTTTCGGGCCATCAAATTATAGATGTGTTCCAGATGCCGTACCTTCCGGATTTCCTTGGCCTCAAAAGGACATATTTAGCAAACTTAGAATAAAGAGTTGCATCAGAACGCATCAGAATCTTTTATAGAGATCACCAACAGGTCTATATCGCTCAAATATCGTACCTGGCCAATCAATGGAGGAAAAATATTCGAGAAGCGAGACAAAATCAGCCTTGAAAAAAGGTGGGTGAGAAAGTTGCCTGAGCTCGGGCAGCGCTAAGATAATGTCGAATGGGACTATACTTTGATTGGGCCCAGCAAAAGGCGGATAAACACGAATATCCTTGACGACTGGGCTATTAGGCAGCATCACAACAAGAAACGAGCTTCCAGACGTAAGCTGTGTGACATGCTAAACCAAAGAACAGCACTCAGGAAATTCAAGAATTTTTAACGACGCAGACTTTTCAAACTTTCCTGCCAACCACTCTATTCGATCGCCGAAAACAATTAGATGCTCGTTTGAAAAAAAGTGGTCAAATACCGTTTCATGAAGACGTTCGTCGTCATCAGAAGTTGATTTGGGGGGCGATAAATAAAAGAGACCGTACATCCTGTGAAAGAAAAACGGTCCAATCCTTGGAGGAGTAGCCATGGGGGCTGAACTTATCAAGTTCTTGACTAGGCAACACAGTCCACCACCTCTAAACCCCGTTCGGTCAAGGCGATAAACAGGATACGGACGACCTGACAGGGTATCAGAGTCTGAAATACTAGCCGACAACTAAGTTTCCGTAATAAAAAGGAGGTGTGGGTTGTAGCAATCTAGAAAATATTTAAGATGATGGAGCTTGTTGTAGAAACATCTGGAAGTGAATAGGTAACATTTCAAATCGAGGAATGTCCCGAGATGGGATGGGGGATGAGGGTTCCCAATGTCCGTGTTATAGGTAGCTCATAAGCACGCCTCAACTCGCTGCGATATCCACGGCTATTCAGCTGGTCATTTCGCTGCTTACACTCCAGCCGAAGCTGTTTATCTGGAGTGCGTTCAGCAGAGCCAGGCTCTTCCGCACGAATACTGTTGTTAACTAGGAGCGCCTTTGCGGAGAATTTTTTATCCAGCGGTTTCTGGATGGCAGCACCATTTTGACCAGCCTCGGTCGCGTTAGCTGTCAGGTTTACCCATGTGGCACACTTCAACTGGTCTATTCGGCACCTAAAATGTCAAGTACATCAATCGCCTTGACCTCTAAATCCCTTTGCTTGCCAGGAGCTGGGATCAGGGCTTTCAGAGGCAACCACGCCCCCTTTCAACCCTCTTGAAAGCATCAGCAATGGTCTGAGGCAACTCAGAGACAAGAGCATTTGAAAACTCCGTCATAACAAGATACTTTATCTGCTCATTCCGCTCCACCCTGGCGCTCACAGGTTCACTCATGGACATATTCGCAATTTCTGAGTCTGCAGGGCAGTTTTCCAGAATATTACCTCCCATGTTCGATGTGTCCTTCACATTGCTATTCATTCATAGGCACAGTCGACATGGTG